CTACTCTTTTCTTGCTGCAATTTTTATTCTCTCTTGTGTTTAAGATTTTCTCATACTCTACCCTTCATCTCTTTCTCCTCTCCGATCCATTGGCCTGAATGTCGTCGACTTTTGCTGCAGCGAGGATGATCAATTGGCGGTAGAGCCATCAAGGTTACGGTGACCGGCTATGAAGATCTTTGTGATTTGTCAGAGAGAGAGAGAGAGAGAGAGAGAGAGAGAGTTGTTGTGGTTTAGGTGGGGTTGGAATGATGGTGAGGGTGGCTATGGGTTTTGGGGTTGGAGTGGTAGGGTGGCTGGGTTTGGGAGGTGGTTGAGGTGTGTGCGCAAAATTGGGGAAGTTGAAATTTAAAATAAATAAAAAATTTCATTTTCAGATTGAATTTAAAATTTTATAATCATTTTTAAAATTAATTTTAAATATTTTATATATTATATATTTTTAAGGGAATGGACCACATTGACTAACATATACAAACACAAGGACCAAATTGGCCAAATTGATAACATAAGGACTAAATTGGCCTATGAGATAAAACATAAGGACCATTTTAACATTTAAGCCAAAAATCTAATAAACATGCATATATATATATATATACACACACACACACTAAAACTATATGTATATACTTTTATTGCATTTTCATTCATTTCTACGGGTCTTGTATATGTAAAAAATTGTGACCTTATATATGTTGACCCCCGGAGAGAAGATTTTTGGATCCGTCCCTGACTCCACCTAAACCACAACCACTTTCTCTGCAGCAAAAATCTGGGACATTCACGCCAACATCACGTATAGTGAAAATTCCATAGCAGTCTCAAATCCTCGTCATTGTTCGCACCTAGACCACCCTCGAACTTGATTGTCCCAACATGACTTGAGCTTTGTTTCGTCTTGGCGTTAGTCAATCCAAGTCAATGGTACATGCTGGAGTGAGCTGGTGGATCCCGGAGGTGGTCTTCTTGTGTTGGGCATGGTGGTTGGTTGAGAAGGAAGAAGATAATGTTGATGTAGTCATTGAGCGATTGGGATCACTTAAGTGTTTTTTGGCGGTCAATGAATCTGAAAGGAGAGAGATGATGGTGGGAGTATGAAAAAAATTCAAGGCAGAAGAGCAATAAAATAGTAGGCATTGGATTGACTCAAGAACATTTTTTTGGCTACTCAAAAACGTTGGAAGAGTGGAGGTTGGGGTTTTAATTATTAAGTTCTTTATTATTTGAATTCATATTTGTAATCATTAAAAAAAATTTAATTGATTTAATTTTTTTTTCAATTTTAACGGAATTTGGGTGGAAGGATTACATTGACTAACAGATACAAACACAAGGATCAAATTGGCCAAATTGATAACACAGACCTATGCTTTATAAGATGTCAAATTTGGCACAGCTCTTCTAGCCTTCAAATCCATGTAGGATTTGACTTATCGATTATAACAATTTTTCATTCAATTCTTGTCATTTCATGTTCATATCATCTTCTTTGGAAATGCTCTAATAATTTCAATTTGTAAAATTTACCAACACTTTACTTCATAAAATTGCTAACTAATTAATAGTTTTCTTTCCTATGTCAACATTTTGTGGGATTAAAACCAAATATGCTATAGACTTGTCCTTTGAGAACATCAACTCTCAAGTTCGAGATTACGTATAACAAAAAAAGAAACGTTGATAAAATAATTAGCATAAAACAAGTTAATATGATGATGCGCAAATGCCATGGTCTCCAAGTCCATTAGATAATAAGAAAGAATTTGGACTTTTTCTCTCTATAGGATGGATGCAATTGGGGTCAAGTTTCATATGTATGGTTTGATTTTTTTGATTAATAAAGTTTCTCTTATGCGGCCGAAAGTTTTTGGGACATGCCGTCGTATTTTTATATATTTTTTCACAACATTGCATTAATTTAATTGAAGAATTTGTTTAATACAAATTATTAAAGTAGCAAACAAATCCATTTAAATTCCCAAATAAGTCAACAAACTTCAGTTTGCTACTCCATTAAAGATGCTCATAACCTATAATTTGTGGAACGAAAACGAATAATTTTTTGGGCTTGTCCAATATAGACCCATACATTTTCTATTTCCTAGACATATACCCATCACTCTATAAATCTTTGGGTAAAACCCAATTTCAAATTTAAATGACCAGTAGGATATAAGAGGTCGTAGTATTTCTATGTTTTTACATCGTTGCCACTAAACTTCATATTTTATTTATAATTTTATTTCAAGCATTTCATTAACTGCCATAATTGTAATTAATATACTCCCTATTAATAGCATATCAATCACCCCATTTCTTTTAGTTGTCATTCCCTCTCACATCTCGCCCACTAAAATTACAAACCAAAAAAAAATCTGTATTACATATCCAATAATGTACATATGAAAAATATAATAGAAATATATACATATAAAATATAGTTATATAAAAAAAAAAAAAAAAAAAAAAAAAAAAACAAAGTTACTTTGTAATTGCATATATTTTTCATAATTAAAAATAGGTACACAATAATTTATATTAAATATAGGTACATTATTTACCCACATGTAATTTATTTTACAATATACCTATAAATGTGTAGAGGTACATTATTTGGAGAGGAAAAATAGGTACGTTATTTGGAGAGAGAAAATAGGTTCATTTGAAAAAATTGCTTTTAATAAAACAAATAATAGGTACTTTATTCAGAGAAAAAAAGGCTATATTATTTATAGAAAACATTAATTAGATAAATAATAGGTACTTTATTCGTAGTAGGTATATTATTCAAATGGTAGGTACATTGGATGACATATAATACCTAAATCCTAATTGTAAGTACATTAAAATTAATGTAGGTATATTGGATGTCGTATAATGTAGGTATATTAGAATAGATAATTATGTACACTTTTCATACTAGGTAAATTATATTTTTCATAAAACAAACAAGTAATAGGTACATTATTTTTTCAACATAATCAGTATGTACAGTTTTATTCATAAACAATTATAAAGTGGATTATTAGTCATGTATAATTCATAAAAAGAAAATAACATAAACATTTTATTAAACAAACCGATTACCCAAATTTGAATTTATTGTTAAATTTTTTTTAAAATGTTTCAAAATTAATTCTTACATCCATTACAACCATTTAGAGATCTTTCCAAATTCAACATTTGTCATTATATACAATCCAATTAAAAACTATTTCCCTATTGATTCTTACATTAATATACAAAATGCAATAATGGCTTAGTTGGGGGTATTTTTGGAATATGAAAAGTACAATAAATCAGATTTTATGCTTAATTAGGTAACTTGCTGAGTTAGATCCTAGTCATGGGTTTTTACTTATACAAATTGGGTATTATTTATAGGAACAAAAAGTGAAGGGTTTTAGGTACGGCAAATTGAATTTGAAGGGTGTAAGCCAAATTTACTATAATTTTTTATAGAAATGCTGGCTTTTGCATAATTTTATACAAATACAATAAGGGGAGTGCTAGCAACCTTCTCTCTAACCTTTTCTTTTGGACATTCTCTCTTCTTCTCATGACAAGTGTCAATTTCCTTACACTTAAAACAATATCATTAATGCATCATACAAACTAGTTTTTGTTTTCCAAGTTTACCCTTATTAAATGTATTAATTTTTTTTTAATAACAAGCTAATTTTTTTTTACAACTTTCTTACCACCTTGTTAAAAAAATTAAATAAGAAAATAAAAACTAAAGTTTTTTTCCCCCAAAGAGAACGTGTGTTTTGTTAAAAACAAAATAAAGATGATAACAACCTCTTGAAACAAACTTTATTTTTAAAGAAAAAAAAATGACGTTTTTATTTTATATTTTATTTTTTACTATTTAATTTTTAATAATGTGCTAAAGAAGTTGTAACAAAATTTGAATAAATTGAAGGAAATATAAAAGCCAATACATTTTAAAAGGGTAAACTTGGAAAACGAAAACTAACTTGTGTGATGCATTAATGACATTGTTTTAAGTGTAAGGAAAATGACACTTGTCATGAGGAGAATGAAGAAGGTCCAAAAGAGAAGGTTAGAGAGAAGGTTGCTATCATTCCTCATATACCAGGGATCAATACAATAACACTTACAAAGGGTTAATAATAGCAATACATAAGGGATAATAATCTTGGAAAATGCTGGCTTTTAGCAACTTTCAGTTTTATGTTTTTAGCGATGACTTTATTATTATTTTTTTATGCGGAAATAAAGAGTTACAAAAGTGAAAAACCTCTTGGGCAAGAGGTCCCAAGGAAGTCAAAATAAAAAGGAGTTCCAACAGATAAAGGAAGGCCATGCTCCCACAGGTGAGAAGGCGATAGGTTGTGGCCAAGCTTGGCCCAAGCATCTGCTAAAAAGTTGCCCTCCCTGAGAACATGTTGGAACTTAACTTCTTCACGAAAAGAACAGAGCTGCAACACGTCTTCAATAAACTGCTTTCGTCTTCAATAAACATGGGCATTAAAATTTGTAGATCGATGAAAAGCAATTTACAGGAAAAATTTGACTGGTTATTTGCTAATGTAGCTAGCATACATACCTTCATTCATTGTGACATTCCTTCATACATCTCAGGGTAATGCAAATTCAAATTTTCTCCATATATTTTATATAAAAAAGGGAAGCGAAACATCATAGTGATAAGACTTTATATTATTGTGCTTTGACCAAAAAAAAAAGGAAAAAAAAGAAGAAGACATTTCATTGTGCTTATAATTCTTAAAAATTAGGGAGTTTCACTAAAACACCCAAAATAGGAGCTGAAATTATAAAAAAACCCAACACCCAAAACACTTTATAAACACACCCAAAACCCATCATTACACACACTCAAAACCCATTTATAAACACACCCAAAAATATACAATTGTTGATTTTGGGTGTGTTTCTATATTTAAATAGTGCTTGGGTTTTTTTATAAATACATGTCTAGGATTGGGTTTATTTATAAATTTGTATAAAAATTAATAAAATAAGTCCTTCTCATTGCAAGAAATACGTCTGGCCTTCGTCTGTGTTTTCAAGTAAAGCAAATCTCTCTCGCTTACTTCTGCAGCATTAATCAGATTATTCCAAGTTCTTCGAGACATGGGGAATTCAGTAATATCATTTTTTTCCCTTTTTGGTTCTTCTTCTGCTTCAACCAAATCTCCATAATTCTTTAGAGAAATCATGCTGTCCGTACAACTATGGATTGCCATTTTACCTTCGAGTAGTACACACTTCATAGAAATACATCTTAGATCCACAAAGAATGTATCTGTACTGCAATCACTCTCGTCATTGAAAAATATGCCGTGCTCCCATTCGCCACAATTAGAAAGACTAGTAGGCTTCAAAGGTGAAAAAAGATCTTGTTTCAAATCTAATTTATAATTTAGCACCCACGCTTTGTTATCGTAATTTTTCAATCCCCATATCTCAACAGATTTTCTTCCCCATATCTTCATATGTCTATCTTTAAGTGAAGAAACATTCACTAGGGCCAAAGATCCCTTGAAATTAAGCAAGTGAAGAAATTTCCAGAGATCTGGATTTTTACCCAAGGAGGTGGGAGGAGGTGTTAAATAGAACTCTTCCTTTTGAAAGTCAAAAGAAAGTATACGTACGGACGATCCATCATCTCCATGGACCAACCAATGCATGTCTCCATGTGCATATGCGGACTTGCAGGTTGGAATGCAAGGAGGAACTGTAGGTAATTTCCGCCATGAGCTTGTCCCCAATACAAGAACTTCGGCCGCCAAGTAATCTTTTTTATTGGTGGAAACACGAACAATCTTGAAGCTATATGTTATATTATCAAATCCCATGCCATACCAATCAACATCGCTGGGACTATTAGATGGAACTTGGACGTCACTCGCTGATGGGAGAATTAGAACTTCTCCCCTGAAAGGATTCACCAACAAGCATGACCTCCCATGCTTCAGATTAAGACCCCTAAAGCATGACCTTCCATGCTCGGGATTATGGCCAGTAAAGCCAAACAAGTTGCAGAAAACAAAAGCAGCAGAATAAAAACGCCGTCTGGATCCGAAATAGGAAATATGAAAACTATGAGAGAATATTTGTTTGTGGGAATTTTCTGTGTATTCTTCTCCTTGTAGGAGGTCATATTTATAATACAACGAAACCTGAATGGGCAAGTAAATAATAAATTCCTAAATCTATTTACAATAGGAAATCAAGAATTAAAGTAAATCAATTATAATTATAATAGGAATTCTTGGTGTGTAAGGAAAGTAAGTCAATATCCACAAGTCACGCCAACACTCCCCCTCACGTTGGTGCATAGATGTCGCCAATGCCCAACTAATCCAGTGAATTGTGGAATGCTTTACTGGAAATCGCCTTTGTCAAAATATCCGCCAATTGATCCTCGGATTTCACAAAAGGAAACTGAAACACTTTAGCCTCAAGCTTCTGTTTGATGAAGTGTCGATCCACCTCAACATGTTTAGTACGATCATGCTGAACCGGATTCTGTGCAATGGCTATAGCAGCCTTGTTGTCACAAAAGAGATTCATTGTAGATGTAGGTTTATACCCAAGTTCAGTAAGCAACTTTCTTAACCAAAGAAGTTCACAAATCCCTTTAGTCATGCCTCTGAACTCGGCTTCTGCACTGGATAAAGCTACTACATTCTGTTTCTTGCTCCTCCATGTCACCAAATTACCTCCCACAAATGTGAAGTAACCCGATGTGGATTTTCTATCTGTTACATTACCTGCCCAATCTGCATTTGAATAACCATCAATATTTAGATGACCATGCTTTGAGAACATAAGTCCTTTTCCAGGTGCAGACTTCAAATATCTAAGTATCCGAAGAACTGCATTCATGTGGTCTTCACTTGGAGAGTGCATAAATTGACTGACAACGCTCACTGCATAAGCAATGTCTGGTCGAGTATGTGACAAATAGATCAATCTTCCCACTAACCTTTGGTATCTTTCTTTGTTAGTTGGAACTTGATCCGGATATTCTCCAAGATGATGATTTTGAACAATAGGAGTGTCCGCAGGTTTGCAATCTAGCATTCCTGTGTCTGTCAACAAGTCCAAGACATATTTCCTTTGAGAGAGAAATATGCCTTGCTGCGATCGAGCCACCTCAATCCCCAAGAAATACTTGAGTCCACCTAGATCCTTCATTTCAAACTCTGTAGCCAGATAGTCTTGTAGCTGTGATATTTCCTGTTTATCATTCCCAGTAATAATCATATCATCAACATAAATTATTAATGCTGTTACCTTCCCTTTCCGATGTTTCAAGAACAGAGTATGATCGGAGTTGCACTGTTTGAAACCATTGTTCTTCATTGCCATGGTGAACCGTCCAAACCATGCACGTGGTGACTGTTTCAACCCATACAATGCTTTTCGTAACCTGCAAACTGTTCCAGTCTGAGTAGTATTATAACCAGGAGGAATGTCCATGTACACCTCCTCTGTGAGTTCGCCATGTAGAAAAGCATTCTTTACATCAAACTGGTGTAGTGGCCAATCCAAATTAGCTGCAAGGGACAATAAGACTCTGACGGTGTTTAACTTTGCAACTGGAGCAAAGGTTTCTTCATAGTCTATACCATAGGTCTGTGTGTACCCTTTTGCCACAAGTCTTGCCTTGTATCGCTCGATAGATCCATCTGCATTGTGTTTTATAGTAAACACCCATCTACATCCGATAGTCTTTTTTCCTCGTGGTATAGTCTCCAATGTCCAAGTCTGATTTTTCTCAAGAGCTTTCATCTCCTCTTTTATAGCTTGGACCCACTTAGGATCTTTCAATGCTTCAGAGACCTTGGTTGGAATATGGATAGCAGACAACTGATGCACAAAAGCCTTGAGTGGTTCAGACAGCTTCTCAGTGGATACATGATTTGCAATTGGATACTTGGATGTTTTGCCAATATTAGGTGAATAGCGGTTTGGTGGCTTCCCACGATTTTGCCTGAAAGGTAATTGATATCCAATAGTTTTATCCTCTAAATGCACAAGTCTAGTAGGAGTAGTTACCTCAAGGATATTCTCAGGAGATTGGTCTGTTGGTACTGTTGAGTTAGAGGGGGGGTCTTCATCTTGTTGTTCTGTATTGTCTGTAGGTGTGAGACTCGTATCAGAAATATCTTCGTATGGATCAGGTGGGTCAGGTAATTGATCGCTATGAATGGGCGATTGGTCGCTTTTTGGCATAGAGTAATCTTGTGTTCCAGACTCAGGATGATCAATCATTTTTGTACATAGGAGAATTTCTTCGTTTTCCAAGTTGCTCCAATTCTGCTCTTCACTTCGTATCTCCCCCTGAAGCGTAGAATTGGATGATGGGTCATGAAAGAACAGCTCAGATTCCAGAAAGGTCACATCCAAAGTGACATAGGTACGTCGGGTAGGAGGGTGATAACAACGGTAGCCTTTCTGATGAGTGGCATAACCCACAAAAACACAACGAAGCGCACAGGGATCAAGTTTGCTACGTTGATTTTTGTGGAGATGAACGAAAGCCACACATCCAAAGATTCGGGGTGTGAGTACCAAAACAGAGGGCAGAGGTCTGTGTTGCGCAAGCACCTGTAAGGGAGTTTTAAAGGCCAATACACCAGAAGGCATGCGGTTGATTAGGTGAACTGCAGTGACAATAGCATCATCCCAGTGATGGCGAGGAACATGAGCGCCAATCAGAAGTGCTCGAGCGGTTTCAAGAAGATGTCGATTCTTTCGTTCAGCAACACCATTTTGTTGCGGTGTCTGAGGACAAGTCGTCTCATGGATAATTCCATGTTGTTGGAAGTAAGTCTGAAAGTCATGATTGACAAATTCTCCACCATTGTCGGAGCGAAGAATATGGATTTGAGCATTAAACTGAGTTTTCATCTGTTTGTGGAAGGACTGAAACCGGGAAAACACTTTGTTTTTATTCTTCAGCAAATAAAGCCATGTCATCCGTGTACAATCATCTATGAACGTGACAAACCATCGAACACCAGAAGGAGCAGTGATAGGTGAAGGTCCCCAGACATCAGAGTGAATTAACGTAAATGGAGTAGTACACTTGTTCGTACTCAACAGGTAGGGCACACGGTGACTCTTGGCCAAAATACAAGTATCACATGTGAAGTCGGAGTCCTTGAAACCTGAGAATAAATCTGGTATAAGATGCTTCATATAACTAAAAGACGGATGTCCCAATCGACGGTGCCACAACCAGATTTGCTTTTGTTTGCTATCAAAGGGATGCCTCACACTGTTAGCCATGCCAGGACTGAAGTTATCGACATAATATAGCCCCCCTCTCTTAGTACCACGACCAAGAATCTCCTTAGTGTGAATATCCTGAAGCAAACAAAAACTCGGGTAAATGAGTACACAACAATTCAATTGTTCAGTAAGTTGACTAACGGACAACAATTTAGTGGATAAAGATGGAACAAGTAAAGTATTAGACAGTGTGAGAGAGGATGAGAGTGCAACAGTGCCAGCCCCTGTCACAGGATAAGTAACACCATTGGCATTTGCAATACAGGTTCGTCGAGGTTGTGTAGTATTCAGAAAATCATCAGGATCAAACGTCATATGATCAGTTGCACCGGAATCAATTATCCAACTCTTGGAATCAATCTTAGCGGAAGTATGGAATCCATAACCAGTACCATTACTGGTCGTATTGCGTTGTCCTCGATCTTTAAGAGTAGCCCACCAATTGGGATAGCCATGCAATTTAAAACAAGTCTCACGAGTGTGTCTTGGATCACCACAATATTCGCAATCTGGTCCATGTGTCGGGGTCGTTAGTCGAGAAGTCATAATCTGTGCAGCGGAAGATGTATAAGATACAGGTTTAGTAGGAATTCGGATCGGGATCTGAGCCTGAGTCGGGATCGGGGTCTGAAACAAAGACAAATTCGGGGTCGGGGTCGGAGTCATCGTCGGAGTAGGGGTCGAGGTCGTTGTCGGAGTTGGAGTCAGAGTCGAGGTCATCGTCGTCGTCATAGTCGGGGTCAGGGTCGGGGTCGTCAAAAGAGGATCCTGATTCAGGATTAGATTCGGGGCCAAAGTCTGCATTTGTAGGAGCTGAGCCATCTGGGCACTCAACTCGGCTATGGTTGGTTGAGAAGGAAAGAAGGAGTCGGTGGTGCTACCTCCATGAGGGATGAAAAAATCACCAATCCCCATAGCGGTGGCGGGGGTGTGAAACTAGAGTCAGCAATTCCAAGATCGCCGCTCTGATACCATGCTAAAATATGAAAACTATGAGAGAATATTTGTTTGTGGGAATTTTCTGTGTATTCTTCTCCTTGTAGGAGGTCATATTTATAATACAACGAAACCTGAATGGGCAAGTAAATAATAAATTCATAAATCTATTTACAATAGGAAATCAAGAATTAAAGTAAATCAATTATAATTATAATAGGAATTCTTGGTGTGTAAGGAAAGTAAGTCAATATCCACAAGTCACGCCAACAGATACAACGTGTCATGTTGATCAAAGGGATACTCATGAAGAGCGACAAGTCGAGGAACTTCAGCGGGAAGTAGAACAAGTAGTTAGAAAACGACGCCGCATGTGCATTGTCGCAAGAGAGGGGTCGTCAACCGTCTTTAAAAAGGACTTAGAGACACATCTCATGAAACAAATCGAATTGACAGGCATTCTCGAAAGGATGTCGATAAGAATTTCCGGCGGTAGAGCGCTGATTGTCATCGAGTTCAGTTCTGGCTTCTCCGTCTCGTTGTTGCAGTTGATATGCCTCAATTTCTTCAACAATGTAAAATATTATTCGGTGGAGTATAATTGTAGGGACTGGATATGCTATGCTATATGTCTTCAGTATTGCTCATCTGGCCTTCCCTACTTACATGCAAATACAAGTATAAAGTCAAATAGACATCTCCCAAATTTTTTTTTGGACAACTATATCTCCCAATATTTTCATTCAATGCGTCCTAATCCCTAATAAATGCATATTTTTATTCAAAAGAAAGTATGATGCTTTCCTTGTGCAGCACACAAATCGGTCAACACCGGATTCTTCTCCTCAAAATTAGCTTTCTCGTAGCACAAGGATTTCAATCTCTTTATAGAATATTTTCCTACCATAATTAGGCTTGATGTTTTCATATGAATATGTACTTTGTGTAATTGATAATACAAGGGAGTACATGGAATTCCCCAACTTTTTCTTAAATCAGAATATTGATTTAATATATACTTAGGGTTTGCTTCTTTTTCACGCGACGCCTCTTTGATTGGTCGTCAAATTTATTTGCTCCCACACTAAAGTCTTCACATCTCCCCCATTCTCTACTTTACTTTTCTTGGTGAATAAGAAAATTTATTTCAATACAAGGTGAGAAAATTCCTCCCCTACCGCGTTTTTATTACTGAAGAGATGAAAAGCAATTCCAGCACTATCACATTTCCAACATTTACATATAGACCACCAACAAACCTCTATTTAAAGAGTTTGATTTACTACTTCTATTGAAGATCTCATAACCTATAATTTGTGGTACAAAAACGAATAAATTTTTTCGGATATGCTTGCTTTTGGGCACTTTTACACAAATACAATAATCTCAGGGATGAAGACAATAACACCAACTACAAAGGGTTAATAATACCAATATATAAGGGTCTAACGGCACACACGTAATAATAATCTTGAAAAATGCTCGCTTCTGCGGAACTTTCAGTTAATATGTTTTCAGCGATGACTTTCTTCAACCACAAATGCTTGCTTCAATTTCTTAGAATTATTGGTGTCAGAGTATGGATCACAATTGCCCCCTTTCCCCTGTATACGGTTTATCTTCTTCCCAGAGAAGAAGTAAGCTGGAATATTGACTTGTCAAATTGAAAGAGAGGGCAATGTTGCAAGAGTTTAATTACAAGTTCAAAATTTTCTTGATATATTTTATAAATAAAGGAATAGTAAAAAAAACCAAGCATCATAACGATAAGACTCTATATCATTGTGCTTATAATTCTTAAAAATAAATATCATTGCGATCCCAAGAAATAGATGCGGACTTCATTTGTGTTTTCAAGTAACACAAATCTCTTCCACTTACTTCTGCAGCGTTAATAAGATTTCTCCAAGTTTCACGAGACATGGGAAATTCAGTAATACCTTGTTCTTCTTCAGCTTCAACCAAATCTCCACAATTATTTAGAGAAATCATGCTGCCGGTACAATTATGGACTATCAATTGACCCTTGAGTAGCACGCACTTCATGGAACCATCTCCTAGATGCACAAAGAATATACAGTTATTAAGAGAACTCTCCTGGTTCAAATATATGCCGTGCTCCCATTCGCCGCACTTAGAAAAACTAGTAGGCTCCCAAGATATAAAAAGATATTGTGTCGAATCTATTTTGTATTTTAGCCCCCACTCTTTGTTATCGTAATTTTTCAATACCCATACCTCAACACATTTTCTGTATCCCCGTATCTTCACTTTTCCATTTTCTGGTGAAGAAACATACACCAGGGCCATAGATCCCCTAAAATTAATCAAGTGAAGACATTTCCAAAGATTTGGCTCTTTCCCGAAGGGGGTGGGAAGAGAAGTCAAATAGAACTCTTCTTTCTTAAAGTCGAAAGAAAGCATACGTGCAGAAGACACTTCATCTCCACAGACCAACCAATGCATGTCTCCATGTGCATACAGGCACTTGGAGGTTGGAAAGCAAGGAGGAATCGTGGGCAACTCCCTCCATGAGCTTTTCCCCAATACAAGAACTTCGGCCGCCAAGTAGTCTTTTTTATTGGTGGAAACACGTACAATCTTGAAGCTGTTGGTTTTATTATCAAATCCCATGCCGTACCAATCAGCAGTGCAGAGAGAATTGGCTGGAACTTGGACGTCACTTGCTGATGGGAGCATTAGAACTTCTCCCTTGAAAGGATTGACCAACAAGCATGACCTTCCTTGCTCCAAATAAAGATCAGGGAAAGGATTCGGGCAGAAGGGCGACCTTCCACGCTCCGGATTAAGACCAGTATAGCCAAACAAGTTGCAGAAAACAAAAGCAGACGAATAAAAACGCCGTTTGGATCCGAAATAAGAAACAATTGCGTCCTTGCTCTTTGTCAATAAGTTGTGGCCGTCGTACTTCAATGGATACAACATGTCATATTCATCATAGGAAGACTCATTAAGAACAACAAGTTGAGGAGTTGAACACGTAGTTAGAAAACGACGCCGCATGTCCAGAGCGGCAGAAGAGAGGTCGTCAACCATCTTTAACAAGGCCTTAGATACACATCTCATGCAACAAATCGAATTTATGGGCAGTCTTGAAAGGATGTCGATAAGAATTTCAGGCGGTAGGGCGCCCATCGTCATCAAGTTCAGTTCTGGCTTCTCCTTCTCGTTGTTGCAGTTGATGTGCGTCATTCTCTTCAACAAATTAGTTGGACTAGGGACTAGATATGCTATGCTATATGTCTTCAATTGCCTCACCCTGCCTTCCCTCCATATATATATAAATGGAAATACAATATAGTCAAATAGATACAACAAAAAAAAAAAAAAAAAAAAAAAAAAAAAAAAAAAAAAAAAAAAAAAAAAATATTTGTTTGTATATATGTTCTTTTTCCATAATATATATATTTTTTGAACGATATCTCAGAAGATTTTAATTCAACGCGTGTGAACCCTAATAAATGCATAATTCTCATTTTCCTAATTAATTACACTTTTATGGTTCCCCAATATTTTCCTTGACTTGCTCTAATAATAACGCTTTCCTTGTACAACACACAAATTGGTCAAGATATGATTCTTCTCCTCATAATTAGCTTTCTTGTAGTACAAGGATTTCAATCTCTGTACAGAATATTTTCCTACCATAATTAATACAAGGGAGTGCAATACAAGGTATTCCCCAACTTTTTCTTAACTTGCAATACACTTAATATAGCCTTTTGAATTAACTGTATCCTTTGAATACGGATCAGGATCCTCTACTTTGATTTGCAATTAAGAAAATGGTAAGATGTAAATTAAGAAAGAAAAAAAAAGGAAAAAAAAGAGAGAGTTGGAATTAAGAAAATGGTAAGATGTTATTATTTGTTAGCACCAACACACTAGTGTCATATGCATCAGGAATTAAGAAAAAAAACACTGATCGCAAGTAAGAACCAACACACTGTCATTGGCCTTACCATATGACATTACGTATGGCTTTATTGTACATGGATGACTTGGTCATCTGTTTTCCCGTTTTAATTTTTTCGTGGCCTAAATTGGGTTGGTTCGTGAGTAAATTAGGGCATGTTTGGTATTCAACTTGAATCTAACTTTTTAAATTAAAAAACAGATTTTGAGTCCAAAACAAAAAAAAACCTGTTTGGTAGCCCTATTTTTAAAAAATCGAACTTAAGAACAACTAAAAAAAACACTCCAATTATTAAAAACAAAAAATATATGCTTTTTCAATTTTTTTTTTCTAACAATCCACAAATTCTCAAAATTTTAAAATTTGAAAACAGTTTTCAAGTTGCATACCAAATAAGTTTTCGAATCTTAAAAATAGATTTAAGAGCTTCTTGTTTTTAAGAAAAATCAAAGTTTTTAAGCTCCCTATTTGAATAGGATACCAAACGCCCCTTTATTTTTCTTTGTCAAAAACTTGAGGAAGAGTTATTATACACGCAAAGTATAAAAAAAGCCTTGTCTTTTGAGTATGATTAATATGCGAATGAGAGAAGATTTGATTGTTTTCCATTTTTATATTATATTTATATTAATTTTAATTTGATAGATTAATTTGATAAAGAGCATCTTCCTCGTAGATTTGAAGAGTTCAATTTGCTACTACTGTTGAAGTTGCCCGTAACCTATAATTTGTGGAAGGAAAACGAGTAAATTTTTTGAGAAATGCTTGCTTTTGCACAATTTTATACAAATACAATAATACCAGTATCCATACAACAACACTAACTGCAAAGGGTTAATACTTAATAATACCAATACATATAATAATCTTGGAAAATGCTCGCTTTCGATTCCTACGGTTTTAGCGATGACTTTATTTAACCACAGATACTTGCTTCTTTATTTTCGTTGATTTCTTATTGAAAAACTTTTTTATCCTTGCGCTGGGTTGTTCAGTAACATGGGCATTAAAATTTGTAGATTGATGAAAAGCAATACTGGTTATTTGCTAATGTTGCTAGCATACATACCTTCATTCATTGTGACATTCCTTAATACATCTCACGGTAATTACAAGTTCAAAGTCTCTCCATAAATTTTATATAATAAAAAAACGCCAAACATCATAGGTGATGAGACATTCATATTGTGCTACAAAAAAAAACAAAAAAAAAAAAAAAAAAAAAAAAAGAAAAAGACATCATTGTGCTTATAATTCTTAAAAATTACCACAAGTCATTCTCATCGACAGAAATACGTGCGGACTACGTCTGTGTTTTCAAGTAAAACAATTTTCTCCCTCTTACTTTTGCAGCTTTAATCAGATTCTTCCAAGTTCTTTGAGACAAGGGGAATTCAGTAATATATTTTTTATTATTTTTGGTTCTTCTGCTTCAACCAAATCTCCATAACTCTTTAGAGAAATCATGTTGTTCGTACAACTATAGATTGCCATATTATCTTCGAGTAGTACATACTTCATGGAAATATGTCTTAGATCCACAAAGAATGTATATGTACTGCAATCGCTCTCGTCATTGAAAAATATGCCGTGCTCCCATTCGCCACACTTAGAAAGACTAGTAGGCTTCAAATGTGCAAAAAGATCATCTTTCGAATCTAATTTATAATTTAGCACCCACTCGTTATTGTTGTAATTTTTCAATCCCCATATCTCAACAAATTTTATTTTCCATGTCTTCATATGTCTATCTTCTAGTGAAGAAACATTCACTGGGGCCAAATATCCCTTGAAATTAAGCAAATGAAGAAATTTCCAGAGATCCGGCTTTTTCCCCAAGGAGACAGGAGGAGGTGTTAAATAGAACTCTTCCTTCTGAAAGTCAAAAGAAAGTATACATACGGACAACCCGTCATCTCCACGGACCAACCAATGCATGTCTCCGTGTGCATATGCGGACTTGCAGGTTGGAAAGCAGGGAGGAACTGTGTGTAACTCCCGCCATGAGCTTATCCCCAATACAAGAACTTCGGCCGCCAAGTAGTCTTTTCATTGGTGGAAACACGAACAATCTTGAAGCTGTTGGTTATATTATCAAATCCCATGCCGTACCAATCAACATCGCAGAGACTATTGGATGGAACTTGGACGTCACTCACTGAGGGGAGCATTAGAACTTCTCCTTTGAAAGGATTCACCAACAAGCACGACCTGTCCAGATTAAGACCAGTAAAGCATGACCTTCTAGTAAAGCCAAACAAGTTGTAGAAAACAAAAGCAGCAGAATAAAAATGCCGTCTGGATCCAAAATAGGAAACAATTGCCTGTTTGCTCTTTGTCAATAAGTCGTGGCCATCGTATTTCAATGGATACAACAAGGCATATCTAAGAAAGGGACGCTCATCAAGAAAAACAAGTCGAGGAACTTCAGTGGTAGTAGTAGAACACGTGGTCATCAACCATCTTTAAAAAGGCCTTAGATACACATCTCATGCAACAAATCGAATTTATGGGTAGTCTCGATAGAATGTCAATAAGAATTTCCGGTGGTAGAGCGCCGATTGTCATCAAGTCCAGTTCTGGCTTCTCCGTCGTTATGTTGCAGTTGATGCGCCTCATTTTCTTCAACAAAGTATGTAAAATATTATTAGTTGGAGTATAATTGTAGGGATTGAATATGCTGTGCTATATGTCTTCAATTGCTCATCCCGCCTTCCCTAGTTATATGCAAGTACAAGTATATAGTCAAATAGATATCTCCCAAGATTTTCTTTGACAAATGTATCTCCCAATATATTTTTTTTCATTGTCTTAATTAATTACACTGGGCGTTATGGTTCCCAATTTTTTCCTTGATGTTTTTTTGGACGCTTTCCTTGTGCAACACACAAATCTGTCAACACCGGATTCTTCTCCTCATAATTAGCTTTCTTGTAGCACAAGGATTTCAATCTCTGTACAGAATATTTTCCTACCATAATTAGGCTTGATGTATTCATATGAATGTGTAATTCATTAATACAAGGGAGTACATGGTATTCCCTAACTTTTTCTTAACTTGTACACTTAATATAGCCTTTTGAAGTAACTGTATCCTTTGACTACGGATCAGGATCCTCTGCTTTCATTTGCAATTAAGAAAATGGTAAGTGTAAATTAAGAAAGAAAAAAGAAGAAGAGAGATTTGGAATTAAGAAAAGAGAGACTCCAATATAAGCCCATACAACTGATATCCCTTGGACACAAACTCATCTATCTATATAACTACGTTGAAAACCCAAATTCAAATTTAAATGACCAGTAGGATATAAGAGGTCGTAGTATTTCTATGTTTTTACATCGTTGCCACTAAACTTCATATTTTATTTATAATTTATTTCAAGCATTTCATTAACTGCCATAATTGTAATTAATATACTCCCTATTAATAGCATATCAATCACCCCATTTCTTTTAGTTGTCATTCCCTCTCACATCTCGCCCCCTAAAATTGTAAACAAAAAAAAAATCTGTAAATTACATATCCAATAATGTACCTATGAAAAAAATAATATAAATATATACATATAAAATATAGGTATATTATTTACCCACAAAATAAAAAAGTCAGTTACTTTGTAATTGCGTATATTTTTCATAATTAAAAATAGGTACACAATAATTTATATAAAATATAGGTACATTATTTGAAGAGGAAAGATAGGTACATTATTAGAGGAAAAAAATTGGTAAGTTATTTGGAGAGAGAAAATAGGTTCATTTAAAAAAATTATGTTTGATAAAACAAATAATGGGTACTTTATTCAGAGAAAAAAGGCTATATTATTTATAGTAAAAAATAGGTACATTATTTAGATAAATAATAGGTACTTTATTCGTAGTAGGTATATTATTCAAATGGTAGGTACATTGGATGACATATAATACCTAAATCCTAATTGTAAGTACATTAAAATTAATGTAGGTATATTGGAATAGATAATTATGTACACTTTTCATACTAGGTAAATTATATTTTTCATAAAACAAATAGGTACATTATTTTTTCAACATAATTAGTATGTACAGTTTTATTCATAAACAATTATAAAGTGGATTATTAGTCATGTATAATTCATAAAAAGAAAATAACATAAACATTTTATTAAACAAACCAATTACCCAAATTTGAATTTATTGTTAAATTTTTTTTAAAATGTTCCAAAATTAATTCCTACATCTATTACAACCATTTGGAGATATTTCCAAATTCAACATCTGTCATTATATACAATCCAATTAAAAACTGTTTCCATATTGATTCCTACATTAATATACAAAATGCAATAATGGCTTAGTTGGGGGTATTTTTGGAATCTGAAAAGTACAATAAATCAGATTTTATGCTTAATTAGGTAACTTGCTGAGTTGGATCCTAGTCATGGGTTTTTACTTATACAAATTGGGTATTATTTATAGGAACAAAAAGTGAAGGGTTTTAGGTATGGCAAATTGAATTTAAAGGGTGTAAGCCAAATTTACTATTAAGAAAATGGTAATAAAATAATTAGCATTTTACTAAAACAATTTAATATCATGATGCGCAAATGCCATGGTCTGCAATTTCATTAGATAATAATTACGAAAGAATTTGGACTTTTGCTTTCTATAGGATGGATGCAATTGGGGCCAAGTTTCATGTGTGGCTTGATTTCGTCGAAGTTTTTGGGACATGCCTCATCAAATTCCACTAATGGTCAAATTATAATTTCTATATTCTTAAATTGATGCTGGAATCGGAATTTTTATTTAGGTCAGAAATGAGTATGTCAGAAATTCCTTTTTATAAGGCAAAAGAAGACAAGTATTAGATCTATTAAAACTTACTTTGTTTTAGTAGATAAGTTTTCTTTTTGTTCAATACGTCAGTTCAATCTAGGTAACTATGTCAGGTATTAAAATGAATAACTGGAGAGTGAAAGTTGAAAATCTTAATGTTGTGCAAATTTCCTCTTGGGAGATTCCTTACAAGACAAATGACGGTCAACGGAGAACAACCGGTGTGGTGGTGGCAAATGACCCTCCAATGCCTAAGTCAGTAAAATGGTCTCGGAAGATGCAGATAATACTAAAAGGACGGAGATATTTCTCTGTGGGAGATATTTCTCTGTGGGAGAGATAGGTGGCATGGGAGCCAAGTAGGTAAGAGAGGTGGAAGCCGCTTGGGCTGGCCGGCCATCAAGTGAGAGAGAGATAAAGTAATTTTAGGGATTTTTCAGAGTTACCTTATTTATCTTCCAACTTTAGCTTAAATATATTTTCCTTTCCTGTAACATTCCTTCTCCAATTAAGGAGGGAATAATTGAGAATTATTCATCTCCAGATTAATTGAGTTGATGGAAGTTACAGAAGGAAATAAATAGAGTGAGGGAATTTATGGAATTTATTCCTTCAACCTAAATAGTTAACACCCATATTGAATATATTATTAAATCAGAATATTGATTTAAATAATATATTCTTAGGGTTTGCTTCTTTTTCACGTGGTGGCGCCTCTTTGATGGGTCGTCAGATTTATTTGCTCCCGCACTAAAGCCTTCACGTCTCCACCATTCTCTACTTTTTTTTCTTGGTGTGTAAAAAAAATTATTTTAATATCAGTACGAAGAAACAAAAAAATATATATGTATACAAGGCGAGAAAATTCCTCCCCTACCGCAGTTCTTTATTACGAATAAGATGAAAAACAATTTCAGCACTATCACATTTCCAACATTTTGTTATATATAGATGATATGACCACCAACAAACTTCTATTTGAAGAGTTTGATTCGCTACTTCGGTTGAAGATCTCTTAGCCTATAAGTTGTGGTACGAAAACGAGCAAAAAATTTCAGATATGCTTGCTTTTGCGCAATTTTATACAAGTACAATGATCTCAGGGATCAAACAATAACACTAACTAGAAAGGGTTAATAATACCAATGCATAAGGGTCTAACGGCACACACACGTAATAAAAATGCTTGCTTCTGCTGAACTTTCAGTTAATATGTTTTCAGCGATGACTTTCTTGAACCCTTTCCCTTGTACACGGTTTATCTTCTTCCCAGAGAAGAAGTAAGCTAGAATATTTTCTTGTCAAATTGAAAGAGAGGCCAATGTTGCAAGAGTTTAATTCCAAGTTCAAAATTTTCTCGACATATTTTATAAATAAAGGAATAGTAGAAAAACAAAAAACCAAAAAACCAAGCATCATAATGATAAGACTCTATATCATTGTGCTTATAATTCTTAAACATAAATATCTTTCCAATCCCAAGAAATAGATGCGGACTCCGTCTGTGTTTTCAAGTAACACAAATCTCTTCCACTTATTTCTACAACATTAATCAGATTTATCCAAGTTTTTTTAGGCATGGGAAATTCAGTAATACCTTGTTCGTCTTCAGCTTCAACCAAATCTCCACAATTACTTAGAGAAATCATGCTGCCGGTACAACTATGGACTATCAATTGACCCTTGAGTAGCACACACTCCATGGAACCATCTCCTAGATGCACAAAGAATATACAGTTATTGAGAGAACTCTCCTGATTCAAATATATGCCGTGATCCCATTCGCCGCACTTAGAAAAACTAGTAGGCTCCCAACGTATAGAAAGATCTTGTTCTGTATCTATTTTATATTTTAGCTCCCACTCTTTGTTATCGTAATTTTTCAATCCCCATACCTCAACACATTGTCTATATCCCCGCATCTTCACATATTCATCTTGTGGTGAAGAAGCATACACCAGGGCCATAGATCCCCTAAAATTAATCAAGTGAAGACATTTCCAGAGATCTGGGTCTTTCCCCAAGGGGGTGGGAAGAGGAGTCAAATAGAACTCTTCTTTTTTAAAGTTGAAAGAAAGTATACGTGCAGAAGACGTGTAATCTCCATCGACCAACCAATGCATGTACCCATGTGCATACACGGACTTGTAGGTTGGAAAGCAGGGAGGAACCATGGGCAACTCCCGCCATGAGCTCGTCCCCAATACAAGAACTTCGGCCGCCAAGTAGTCTTTTTTATTGGTGGAAACACGTACAATCTTGAAGCTGTTGGTTATATTATCAAATCCCATGCCGTACCAATCAACAGTGCAAAGACAATTGGCTGGAACTTGGACGTCACTTGCTGATGGGAGCATCACAACTTCTCCCTTGAAAGGATTCACCAACAAGCATGACCTTCCATGCTTCGAAGACCTTCCATGCTTCGGATTAAGACCAGTAAAGCCAAACAAGTTGCAAAAACAAAAGCAGACGAATAAAAACGCCGTTTGGATCCAAAATAGGAAACAATTGCGTCTTTGCTCTTTGTCAATAAGTAGTGGCCGTCGTACGTCACTGGATACAACATGTCATATTTGTCATAGGAAGACTCATTAAGAACAACAAGTCGTGGAGTAGAACAAGTAGTTAGAAAACGACGCCGCATGTCCAATGTGGCGAAAGAGAGGTCGTCAACCATCTTTAACAAGGCCTTAGATACACATCTCATGCAACAAATCGAATTTACGGGCAGTCTTGAAAGGATGTCGATAAGAATTTCAGGCGGTAGGGCGCCCATCGTCATCAAGTTCAGTTCTGGCTTCTCCTTCTCGTTGTTGCAGTTGATGTGCCTCATTCTCTTCAACAAATTAGTTGGACTAGGGACTAGATATGCTATGCTATATGTCTTCACTTGCTTACCCTGCCTTCCCTCGATATTTATATGCAAATACAAGTATAGTCAAATAGATATGTCCCAATTGGCCAAAAAAATAAAATAGATATGTTCCAAGAAATATATATATATTTTAGAACGATATCTCAGAGGATTTTAATTCAACGCGTGGGAATCCTAATAAATGCATATTTCTCATTTTCCTAATTAATTACACTTTTTATGGTTCCCCAGTATTTTCCTTGACTTTCCCTAATAATAACGCTTTCCTTGTACAACACACAAATCGGTCAAGACATGATTCTTCTCCTCATAATTAGCTTTTCTTGTAGTACAAGGATTTCAATCTCTATGCAGAATATTTTACTATCATAATTAGGCTTGATGATTCATATAAATATGTAACTGATTAATATGATCCGTTGCTTTGATTTGCAATTAAGAAAATGGTAAAATGTAAATTAAGAAGATAATAAAAAGAGATTTGAAATTAAGAAAATGGTAAGATGTTATTATTTGTTAGCACCGGCAAACAACCGACACATTGTCATTGGCCTAAATTGGGTTGGTTCGTGAGTAAATTATTTTTCTTTGTCAAAAACTTGAGGAAGAGTTATTATACACGCAATGTATCAAAAAGCCTCGTCTTTTTATATTTCTATTAATTTGACAGATTAAATTGATGTGGAATGCAAAATTTAGCTTCACTAGTAGAGTTTGACATAGGGATGGCAATAATACCCCCGCCCCTAACGGGGGGAGTTTTTGGGGGGAAATCGGGGCTAAGTACGGGGATCCCCGAATTTGCAAAATCCTCAGTCGGGGATGGGCCGGGGATGGTATTGTTATCCCCATCCCCGAACCTAGGCCGATAAGTAATATATTTATTTATAATTAATATATTAATATATTAATATAAATTATATAATATAATAAACAAAGTTACCCTAGTGTCGCTCCTTATTCCTTATACATTGCATAAGGTTGGCACGCACAACGGCATAGTCAAATGAGCTTATCTGATACATTTTTTAACCAAACTTGACAACAACATAGTGGATTGGTCTGATATATGGTGAGGATCATGAACAGACCATGAATGAAGATGAGGGGTTGGCCACGTGCTGTTGCTTCTATTGGTTGTTAGGAAAACCAAAATCCTCAAATAGACCATGAATGATGAGGAAATAAAAGTGGAAAGTTAAAACTCAAAAGTGTTTACAAAAAAGCTAAGTTTTTGTACGCCATCACGTGATGTTGCTTCTATTGGCCTTACCACAATGACAGTGCATTGGTTTTACTTTTTCTTGGCCTACATTGGGTTGGTTCGTGAGTAAATTATTTTTCTTTGTCAAAAACTTGAGGAAGAGTCATTATACACGCAATGTATCAAAAAGCCTCGTCTTTTTATATTTATATTTCTATTTCTATTAATTTGACAGATTAAATTGATGTGAAATGCAAAATTTAGCTTCAACATTTTACTTCATAAATTGCTAAATAGTTAATAGTTTTCTTTCATATGTCAACTTTTTGTGGAACTAAACCCAACCAAGATATGATACCTCCCCTAACCCTCAAATAACTACAAAAAAAAAAAAAAAAAAAAAAAAAAAAAAAAAAAAAAAAGAAAAAAATGGAATATAAAATAATTAATACATAAATTCTACTAAAACAATTTAATCATAAGAAAGAATTTGCAATTGGGCCCAAGTTGCTGGTTTGATGATTAATAAAGTTTCTCTTGTGCCCTCAAAGATTTTGGGACAAGCGTCATCAAATTCCACTAATGGTCAAATTATAATTTCTCTGTTCTTAAATTGTTGCTGAAATAGGTATTTATATTTATTGATCGTTAACTCTATCACAATTATTTCCTCTTTCTTGGTATATAATTAATGCACCACAATTACTTCGTACATGTTACCATGTAACGCTAGGGAACTGGTACAATTTCCACTTTACATGCTTTGACCACTTTTCTCGATGAAAAAGAAAATTTATTTAAATATCGGTACAGAAAATACCTCCCCTACAGCAGTTGAAAACATACTATAGGCAGGAAAATACCTCCCCTAAACTCTAATCACAATTACCCCCTTTCCCCTGTACACGGTTTAGCTTCTTCCCAGAGAAGAAGTAAGCTGGAATATTGACTTGTAAAATTGAGAGCTCTTTATCATAGTGCTTATCGCTTATACATAAATGCGACTACAATCCAAAGAAATGGATGCGGACTCCTTCTGTGTTCTCAAGTAACAAAAATCTCTCCCACTTTCTTCAGCAGAGTTAATCAGATTCCCCCAAGTTTTACGACACATGGGGAATTCAGTAGTACCTTGTGTTTGGGCCTAATTTAACACACAGTCCAAGGAAAACAAAAGCCCATGACAATTTTTTTGCAGCCACTTGCATTCCTTGAAATTGGGCCAAAACACACACTCAACCCAGCACTGGAGGCCCAGAAGGATGAGACAAAAACAAAACCAGGCAGTTCATGACCCAAATTATAATCAAGGGCCCACATCTAAAAGAAGCCCAACTCAGGAGCTATCTAAGAACGCAAAACCTGGGCCTTGGAGAGATAGAGAAAAGAAAGGAATCAGCTCATGGTTCAACTCGAATTTGGGCTTGCCATTATTAAAAGAAAGAAACCCAAAGCAGGAACAGACCCACGTGATGTTTCTGACTTAGAAAAGTCAATATTTTCAATTGGGATTAACAAAAGCAGACGGCTAGGAGAAGACTTCTCTGAATCTTTGCCATCAGAAGATCATATCCCTTTTACATATTTGAAAATAATGTTTTTTTCTCCAAAGAGGGTGATTCTCCCAAGAAATAAGCAGGCCATGTTCTCAAAAGGAGATAAGCAGGAGGACAAGGAGTTGTTCAAATGGAAGATCAAACTAAACATCACAGTTTGAAAAATACAGGGAAGTGATCTGAAGGAACTAACTAGTGGGAGCTTATTTGCCAGAATTGATAAAACCCCTCTTTCTTTACATTTAAAAATGAAAGATCTTTTGAGAAAATTTTGCCGCCCATTATTAAAAGAAAGAAACCCTACTCCAAAGCACTTCTTATAAATATAAGAGGGGGTGAACAAGGCAGACACACAACAAAAAGTTATTAAAAAAAATCAATCAAACAACCAAAAATCAACCAAAGGCAAGAAACTCAAAATGATCACACTTAATCACTAAGAACCTTCAAACAAACTGGACTAATCAAAAGCTCTCTCTCTCTCTTAGAATTTCCAAGTTCAGGCTTAGAGAAAAAGTCATTCAAAACGAGACTTCTCTCGTTACAAATTTGGTTCAACAAAAGCCAAGACAAGCAGAGTTTGAGTTTTCACAAATATGAAAACCTCAACAAATTTGTGGAGAGCCTCAACCAAGCAAAACAGGTACCACAGTGCAGTGCCAGCTCAGTAAGTCTTCAAGTCCAGCCACTTCTGCCCCTTGTAGATTGAAAAGGCCGCAGTTCTGCCCATTCAAAAAGCCTTCCAAAGCTTGAAATAGATTAAAGCTCTGCCAAATTCAAATTTTGGTATCGATTTATAGCTGAAGCTAAGTAGTTGAAGTTATTGACAGTTCAGTCCAGCACAGACATACCCAGTCCAGCCCGGATTAGAAGCTTCTATCCAGGCAGAAATGGAATTTCAATCATCTTTTTGTCCTTTTAGAGTTGATTTTTCCCTCTCTAGTTTTGTAAAAGGCAGTTCTGCCTAAAACAGTTCACATTATTATCATTTATTCTAGTCAGAACCACCAATCTTGTATTGAGATAAATTGTGAAGTCCTCACCAGTTTGAGGCAAGAAAAGAACTTACTTGGGAGATATTCCTCACCCAAATTCACAATCGCTTGTTTAGAAATCAGTAACTTGGGGCGCAAGTTATCTATTTTAAGAAGTATTCTAGAATTGTTATTGCTAGCAGTGGCACGCTCGCACACTAAAGAAAGTTGACTTGTTCACCAGTCAATGTTTTTCAAGGCAATGGGGAACTTTACCCTACCATCACAGGAACAAACACAAAACGGGTGAACAATTTGGCACGCCTAGTGGGACTTCTCAGTATACATACTCCTAAAAAGTTCCCTAAAGTATATGAATATTGGAAGTTCTAGCCAGAACCCACGCTACTCAATGGAAAGAGATCAAGCAGCTCTCCGAGAGGGACTGGAGTCAGAAGAAAGTGATGCTAGGCAATCAGCCCATGCCAACCCATATATGATATTAGGCTGGTGCCTCCAAAAGTTAAGAACACCAACTCTCAAATCGAGATTATGTATAACCAAAAAAAAAAAAGATTTTCTATTTAAACCCCGCACTTCTCTTTGTTCACCTCAATACTTAAATCATTAAGCTGTAAGTTTTATTATTGTGTAAAAAGACAAAAAGGGTCATCCAACTTAATACTTAACCCTAGTACATCTATACACATACCCCATACACCCCACCACTCTTCATATTAAGTTTTAGAAAAATACAAACTCTTCTACATCGTATTGCCAGAGACGTAGAATATTGAAGAGCATGTCTCTTTAAAATCTACGTGGGAGCTAATGGAAAGACTTGTTAATTGTTTGGCTGTAATGATCTTATTCTCTTCCCTTTGTTGATTGCTTTTTTTTAAATACCTAATGTTTTGGTAAAGCTGTTCTTTTTCTCTAGAAAATATTAAATTTCGGATTTGGGTTTGTTTGTGTTTTTTTTCTGCTAGGAACAGTAATATTATTATCACTTCTGGCATTCCAGTGTGCATCTAAAATCATAATCTTATTGCTGCAACTTCAATAGTTGGGTAATTTTTCTTGTTTCTTTTCCACTCTGATAAAAGCTTCAATGTATTCTCCATTGATGGCCGATCAGATGGCCTACTCCTAGTGCAAAGTGTAGCACCTCAAGTACCAGTTTTATCTCCTCTCGCATCAGAACGTTCGTACAAACTTCATTCTCATTGTAAATTTCTCTCATAACAACTTCCCTTGACTTACTCTGTATGCTTGCTTCTGAATTCATCAACCTGCCATTGCTTAAAATTTCCAGCATGATCTCCCCAAAGCTATATACATTCCTCCTCTAAGGGTAGCTTGTGAGGTTTAAATAGAAAATTTCTTTTCTTTCTTATTTTTTCAGATTGGGGTGTATTTAAAGATAGTTTGGGAAGATAGTGGGTTTTCTTAGAAATTGTGAAATTTTAAATTAAAAGTTGGGGTGAACTTAGAACATGGGGTGAACTAAGAGAAGTGTGGGGTTTAAATAGAAAATCTCAAAAAAATAAAATAAAGGGTTGATAAAATATTTACCCTTCTACTAAAACAATTTAATCATAAGAAAGAATTTGCAATTGGGGCCAAGTTGCTGGTTTGATGATTAATAAAGTTTCTCTTGTGCCTTCGAAGATTTTGGGGCCAATTTGCGTCATCAAATTCCACTAATGGTCAAATTATAATTTCTCTGTTCTTAAATTGTTGCTGAAATAGGTATTTATATTTATTGATTGTTAACTCTATCTCAATTATTTCCTCTTTCTTGGTATATAATTAATGCACCACAATTACTTCATACATGTTACCATGTAACGCTAGGGAACTGGTACAATTTCTACTTTACATGCTTTGACCACTTTTCTCGGTGAATAAGAAAATTTATTTAAATATCGGAACGGAAAATACCTCCCCTACAGCAGTTGAAAACATATTCTAGGCAGGAAAATACCTCCCCTAAACTCTAATCACAATTACCCCCTTTCCCCTGCACACGGTTTTGCTTCTTCCCAGAGAAGAAGTAAGCTGGAATATTGACTTGTAAAATTGAAAGCTCTTTATCATAGTGCTTGTCGCTTAAATACAAATGCTACTGCGATCCCAAGAAATGGATGCGGACTCCTTCTGTGTTTTCAAGTAACAAAAATCTCTCCCACTTTCTTCAGCAGAGTTAATCAGATTCTCCCAAGTTTTATGGGGCATGGGGAATTCAGTAATACCTTGTTCTTCTTCTGCTTCAATCAAATCTCCATAATTGTTTAGAGAAATTATGCTGTCGATACAACTGTGGATTGTAATTTCACCTTTGAGTAGTATACAATTAATGGAAACATGTCTTAGATCCACTAAGAATATGCAGTTATTGGGCCAACTCTCCTGATTGAAAAATATGCCGTGCTCCCATTCTTCGCACTTGGAAAAACTAGCAGGCTTCCAAAATATAAAAAGACATTGTTCCGAATATATTTTATAATTTAGGACCCACTCTTTGACGTCGTAATTTTTCAATTCCCATATCTCAATATATGGTCTCTGCTCAAATATTGTCATATGTTTATTTTCTGGTGAAGAAACATTCACTAGAGCCAAAGATCCTCTTAAATTAATCAAGTGAAGAAAGTTCCAGAGATCTGGCTTCTTCCCCAAGGGTGCAGGATGTGGCATCCAGTAGAACTCTTCTTTCTTAAAGTCAAAAGAAAGTATACGTACAAACAACTCGCCATCTCCATAAACCAACCAATGGATATCTCCATGTGCATATGCCGACTTGCTTGTAGGAAAGCAGGGAGGAACCGTGGGTAACGCCCGCCATGAGCTTGTCCCCAATACAAGAATTTCAGACACCATGTAGTCTTTTTTATTGCTGGAAACGCGAACAATCTTGAAGCTGTTGGTTATATTATCAAATCCCATGCCATAATAATCAACACTGTAGAGACTATTGGCTGGAACTAGGACGTCACTAGCGAATGGGAGCATTAGAACTTCTCCCTTGAAAGGATTCACCAACAAGCATGACCTTCCATGCTTTGGATTAAGACCAGTAAAGCCAAACAGGTTGCAGAAAACAAAAGCATGTGAATAAAAACATTGTCTAGATCCGAAATATGAAACAATTGCATGCTTGCTCTTGGTCAATAAGTCGTTACCATCGTACTTCAATGGATACAACACGTTTTGTTTATGATAGGGAGACTCATCAAGAACAACAAGTCGAGGAACTTCAGTGGTAGTAGTAGAACAAGTAGTTAGAAAACGGCGCCGCATGTGCATTGTGGCAAGAGAGGGATCGTCAACCGTCCTTAACAAGGCCTTGGATACACATCTCATGCAACAAATCGAATTTACGGACATTCTTGAAAGGATGTCGATAAGAATATCCAGTGGTAGGGCGCCCATCGTCATCAAGTTCAGTTTTGGCTGCTTCTTCTCATTCTTGCTGTTGATGTGCATCATTCTCTTGAACAAAGTATGTAAAATATTATTAGTTGGAGTATAATTATAAGGACTGGATAGGCCATGCTATATGTCTTCAATTGCTCATCCGGACATCCCTTTTTATATGCAAATACAAGCGTAATCAAATAGATATATCTTACAAGTACAAAGATGAGTTAACCCTAAATAAAATAGGAAATATATCTAAATACAATAGGAAATAAATCTAATTTATAATAGGACTAAATAAATGGTAAGTACCAAAATCCTAAATAAATAAGGACTCGCCAACCCAAGATTTTAATTCAACGCGTCCAAAACCCTATTGCTTATTTCTCATTCTCCTAACTAATTACACTAGGTTTTATGGTTTCCCAATTTTTCCTTGACTTTTCGTACCGTTATTGTCAAATGAAGTAACTACGGAGGGATCTAGGAATTTGCAGCGGTCAACGTCTAAAAGGGTAAAAACTTTCTATTTGAAAAATCCCTAATTTATTCGAACAACCAAAAAAAATCACAAAAACTAATAAAACAAAAATATACAAGAATCTTCAGTAATTAACAAACACAAAAACTAATCCAATATACCAAGATATAATCAAACCAAAGCATATACAATCCAATTATTAAAAAAAAAACCCTAATTTATTCAAATTATTAACTAACCAAAATAAAAAATTCATCAAAATAACTAATCAAGAGAATATCTAATATAGAATATCTATTAATTTATTAAAGCATAAAGAGATTAGAAATTAGGATAACATACTTTCAAATTTGAGGGACAATGACAAATCCACCTTTGAAATCAAATTGAATTTGGGGCTGATTTTTTTGCTTTGTTGCCACCACTATGAGGATGTTGCCGCTGCCGGACAGGTGGTTGGATTGGTTGAAGGTTGGTTCAATATGATTTGGGGTTTCAGGATTTAAGGTTTGACATTTAAAAAAAAAAAATGAACTGAAACTGATTTGGGGGAGGGGAGGTATCGGGCTCTCTGTTAAATAGAGTCTGCCTTTTTTCTTCTTTTTTTATAAACCAAAGCCAAACGACGTTGTTTTGGCAAGGTTTTTTTTTAAAAAAACCCCATTAGTAGAAAGACGTCGTTTTGACGTCGAGGGGAGAAAAAAAAAGAAAAAAGAAACTCGCGAGCAGCGCTGGACCACCAAGTCTGGGCCTCTTTGGGGACTGACTCCTAATTACAGTATAAGTTTTTTATCATTAATTCCCCAACTTTTTCTTGACTTGCAAGACACTTAATATAGCCTTTTCAAGTAACTAGATCCTTTTGAACACGGATTCGAATCCTCTACTTTGATTTGTAATTAAGAATTTGTAAAGTGTAAATCAAGGGAAGGAAGAAAAAAAAAGAAGGGAGATTTGCAATTAAGAAATGGTAAGCTGTTATTATTTGTTAGCACCAACACGACATTTTATGAAGTGTAAATGTCGTCGCTGGACGCTCTTGGCCCCAAGCATGCTCACCCCTCTTTTCTTTAGGAAAAAAAGAAAAAAGAAAAGAAGAGGGGCATGGGTACGATTGGATTGATTTGGTAGTTGTAGTAATACGCGTATGAGAGAATAAAGGAGATTTCATTGTTTTCATTTATATAAATATATATATATATTTATATTGATTTTAATTTGACAGATAAAATTAATAAAGAGCATCTTCCTTGCAGATGTCAAATGCAAACTTTAGCTTCAGTAGTAGTTTGACATATTGTAAAATTTTAACTCCACTCTTCCATATGATCAATTAAATTAGAGAATATACCTGAAAGAATATTAAATAATATTTAACAACTTGTTATAAAACTAGATGGAAATTGTAGAGAAAAAACAGAAACGAAAAAGCAATAGAATTTGCTCTATCAACCTCTATCATTCATCCTTGATAATCACCTATTTATAGACTTGCAACTACAGGAAATTAATCCATAAATCGTAGGTTGCAGGTATAAATTCAATAGTAATACAATAGGTTTCAAACCATTAAAACCTGGAAGTAGTGGGTGTTATGGTGGTTATCCACATTTCGTATATTTATAACACTCCTCGTTGATGACCACCAAACAAACGACATAGTTGCCTCATTAAAAACCTTGCTCGGAAAACCTTGTAGGATAAGACCTAAGCGAAGGGGAAAAAGGTGGAAAATTCTTCTGGATCATTGATATGTGTTGGAAGCACTTATGTTGTCTTGTTAAAACCTTGCTAGGAAAACTCCAGTTGGGCAAAAACCTAGTTGAAGGGAAAATAGTACAACGAGCATATTTCATGTATGTAATAGAACTGAGATGCTCCCCCGGATAGATATCTCCCTTGATTTTCAATAACTTCTTAAATATAGACTTCGGAAGAGCTTTGGTAAAAAAGTTCATCTGATTATTTTGTGAACGAATTTGTTTGACTCCAATCTCTTGGCTTTTACTAAAACTATGTCATATGAACCCTTCTTTAATTTGAGCAATATAAGCAACATTGTCTTCATACATGATCATTTATCAAACTATTGGACCTCCTTTTTACTTTTCAAATGATTATACTCTTCAGGATAATTAACAACTTCTTTAATAGTTAGAATATATTACAACAGTATCAAATTTAAATTCAAAATACTTAAGACTCTTAATTCATAATTACGAATATCGTTGTACTAACATGTCAACATTTTATGGGACTAAACCCAACCCAAGTATGCTATAAACTTGGGCCTCCAATAGTTAAGAATACCAATTCTAGATTATGTATAACAAAAAAAAGATTGAGAATATAATTATCATTTTACTAAAACAATTTAATATCATGATATGTGCAAATTCCATGGTCTGCAAGTCCTTTAGATAATAAGAAAGAATTTGGACTTTTGCTTTCTATAGGATGGATGCAATTGGGGCCAAGTCTCATGTCTGGTTTGATGATTAATAAAGTTTCTCTCATGCCTCGAAGTTTTGGGACATGCCTAATCAAGTTTCCTCTATCACAACAATTATTTCCTCTTTCTTTGTATATAATGTACCACAATTAGGTACATGTTACCGTGTAACGCTAGGGAAATGGTTACAGTTTCTACTTTACATGCTAAGACAACTTGTATTGCCCTTATGCAGTTCACTCATCGCCAACTATCTTATTTTAAGTCGTTCCTCAGTTGTGAGATGACGATCTTCACTGGTACCTGATCCGGATTGTAGCACTACTGTTAGGATCATCCTCAACAACCTGCAGGAAAAGCTCAACAAATGAGAAGAAACATGGTGCAACTTTTTCGTTTCAGATGGAAAACATGGATGCCATTTTACAGTGAGAGCAATTAGAATCTGTTCACCAGGAGATTCAAAAATTACACAACGCATTATTTGCTACATAAATTTATTTTAAAAAATTATTTGACTTCCAATTTCCTTGATGATAATCATCTAGCAGTTTCTTGATGGCCACATTGCCTCCCTAGTCTAAAAGTTATTTGCAACAAATGAAAACCAAAGCATCAGTTTCCTGCAGTGCATGAAATTCTCTCCCTATGAATTGACAAACATATATGGACTTGACTAGAATGATAAGTTGATGATCAATGTTTAACCTAAGAAGGCCAAACATAAGCACACTTTTGATTCAGACAAAAGCTTACCGGCAATTCCAACATTCCCAGCACTGTCGCAGTTCCAACATTTGTTACATATAGGTGATCTGCCCACCAAAAAACTTCAATTTGAAGAGTTTTTGATTTGCTACTTCTGTTGAAGATACTCGTAACCAATACAATAATCCCAAGGATCAATACAACAACTACAAAGGGTTAATAAATACCAATACATAAGGATCCAACGGCACACCTAATAATTTTGGAAAATATAATGCTCACCTTTGCGGAACTTTCAGTTAACGTATATTTTCAGCGACGACTTTATTGAACCGGAAATACTTGCTTCACTTTCTTAGAATTATTGGTGTCAGTATGGATCACAATTGCCCCTTTCCCTGTACACGGTTTATCTTCTTCCTAGAGAAAAAGAAGTAAGCTGGAATATTGACTAGTAAAATTGAAAAGATCTCCATGTTGCAAGAGTTCAATTATAAGTGCAAATGTTTCTCGATATATTTATATAAAAAAAGAAGGAATAATAATAATTAAAACATTATGAAAACTAATTATTTTTATTTATTATTTTATATAAATATAAATTTATATTATTTTACTATTATGATGTTAATTAAAATTCTTATAACTTATAAATCTTATAAAAAAATTAGATAATAATAATAATTTTTAAACCAAACATCATGGTGATAAGAGTCTATTATTGTGCTTAAATTGTTAAAAATACATATTTTTGTAATCTAAAGAAATAGATGCAAACTCCGTCTGTGTTTTCAAGTAGCACAAATCTCTCCCACTTATTTATGCAGCGTCAATCAGATTCTTCCAAGTTTCTCGAGATATGGGGAATTCAGTAATACCTTGTTCTTCTTCTGCTTCAACCAAATCTCCATAATTGTTTAGAGAAATCCTGTTGTCCGTACAACTATGGACTGTAGTTCCACCTCTGAGTATTATATGCTTAATGGAAACATGTCTTACATCCACAAAGATTATGTGGTTATTGGGAGGAATCTCCTGAATGAAAAATATGTCATGCTCCCATTCACCGCACTTAGACAACCTAGTAGGCTCCCAAAATGTAAAAAGATATGGTTCCGAATGTATTTTATAATTTTGCACCCACTCTTTGTTATCGTAATTTTTCAATCCCCATATCTCAACATATGGTCTCCATATATTCATATGTTCTTTTTCTGGTGAAGAAACATTCACTAGGGCCAAAGATCCCCTAAAATTAAGCAAGTGAAGAAATTTCCAAAGACCCGCTTTTTCCCCAAGGAGGTGGGATGAGGCATCATATAGAACTCTTCTTTCTTAAAGTCAAAATAAAGTATACGCACAGACGACGCATCATCTCCATAGACCAACCAATGCATGTCTCAATGTGCATATGCGAACTTGCAGGTTGGAAAGCAGGGAGGAACTGTAGGTAACTCCCGCCATGAGCTTGTCCCCAATACAAGAACTTCGGCCGCTACATAGTCTTTTTTATTAGTGGACACACGAACAATCTTGAAGCTGTTGGTTATATTATCAAATCCCATGCCATACCAATCAACACTGCAGAGACTATTGGCTAGAACTTGGACGTCACTTGCTGATGGGAGCATTAGAACTTCTCCCTTGAAAGGATTCACCAACAAGCATGACCTTCGATGCTCTGGATAAAGACTACGGAAAAAATTCACCTGCAATGATAACCTTGCATGCTCCGGATAAAGACCAGTAAGGCATGACCTTCCATGCTCAGGATTAAGACCAGTAAAGCCAAACAAGTTGCAGAAAACAAAAGCAGATGAATAAAAACGACCTTTGGATCCAAAATAGGAAACAATTGCGTGTTCGCTCTTTGTCAATGAGTCGAATCTATAATTCAATGGATACAACATGTCATATTTATCATAGGAAGACTCATTAAGAACTATTGAGGAGCGTAAAATCCCAACTAAATCAACGTGATTGATTCTGAATATTGATCATTGATCTGTACAGATATTTAGTTTATTTCCTTCCTTTATGTAGACGTGTATATTAAGGAATGATTCATTTAGGCTAGTTTTCAGCACCCTAATTGGCTATTGTATTTGTATAAAGGTTCTGTACCTCATTCTATTTTTATCATCAATACATAGGAATTATCAATTCTTTCATGGTATCAGCAGCCTAAGGTTACCTACACAAACCCGAACCCTAGCATGTCCTCTCGCTAACATCCATGGCGATCAACGACAGCGAATCACCTCAAGCCTCAGCCAAGCCTGAGCAACCCAAATATGATGATCCTAATGATCCTCTCTACCTCCATCACTCTGATCAACCAGGGGTTGTTCTTGTCACACAACTCCTAAATGACGAAAATTATCCAACCTGGAGTTGCTCCATGCTCATAGCGCTCAACACCAAAAACAAAGAAGGTTTCGTCGATGGCACCCTCAAGAAGCCTCTACATGGTTCTTCCACAACTCTCCAACAGTGGACACGTTGTAACAATCTCGTCAAGAGTTGGCTCCTCAATTCCATCTCCCCAGATATTGGTGCTAGCATCATTATAACGATGTTGCGTCCGACATATGGAATGATCTGAAGGAACGATTCTCTCACGCTAATAGTGTCCACCTTTTTCATATTGAGCAAGAAATTCATGACTGCGTTCAAGGAAGCATGACCATCGGTGCCTATTACACCAAGTTAAAGGGCTTATGGGATGCGAGAGATGCACTTTGCTATCTTCCATCTTGCAACTGCAGAGCAGCCAAAGAGATGTTCTAATTCCACCAGCACCAAAAGACTATGAAATTCCTTATGGGATTAAATGACGTATACACTGGAGTTCGAGGACAAATCCTACTGATGGACCCATTTCCTGCAGTCAACAAAGCTTTTTCCCTTATTACCCAAGATGAAAAGCAACGAGCAGTTTCTACTCATGCTCTCGGGAAAACACCAGCCACTGACGTTGCAGCCTTTGCCGTTCATGGTCCTCAAAATTCTGGTAGAAATTTCTCACCTAAAAACCCTCATCTTAAGTGTGAACGTTGTGATGCCACAGGACACACCTCTGATACATGTCGAGAACATCTTAATTGTGATTATTGTGGCTGGCGTCGGCACACCATTGACCAATGCCGCAATTGAAGAAGGCTCAATCCACTGGTGGCAACAGTGACTCTCAAGGTCATCGGGGGTCATTTTCTCCTTCGGTCCATCATGTTGATGCCACTCCTGTGGCCACTACAGCTCCTCCATCATACAACCTTACCGCAGCACAATACCAGAGCTTCCTTGCTCTCCTCAATCAAAACAAACCCACAATTTTGGCTAATCATGTTAGCACTGCTTCCAGCACCAGCGATCTCTCAGGTAACACCTTATGTGCCTCTGCTTTCATTAGTGGACTCAACTGGATTTTTGATACTGGTGCCACCGATCACATGGTTTGTTTGCCTAAGTTGTTGACTACATGCACTCAAGTCTCTAATCGTCAAGTGTACCTTCCTGATCATGCCCTTGTCAATGTCACCCACATCGCACTATCTGTTTCTCGGATGATTTTATTCTTCATAATGTGCTTTGTGTTCCCTCATTTAGATTAAATTTAATCTCTGTGAGCAAGCTCACCAAAAGCTCATCTTGTCTTGCAATGTTCATTAATGAATCTTGTATTGTTCAGGACCGACGTTCGAGGAAGATGATTGGGACGGGAATTGAGAGGGAAGGTCTCTACTATCTTGATACTGCGAAGACAGCTGGGTGCAATTTCGTTTCAGCCCTTGTTCCTTCTTCTTCTCAACTTTGGCATCAATGCCTTGGTCATCTTTCAAATAAAAGCCTACGCGCTCTTTCCCTTTCTGTTAAAAACATGAAATTTTGTGACATTGATGATTGTTTGGTTTGTCCTTTAGCTAAACAAACTCGTCGTCCTTTTCCTTTGAGTTCTATTATTCACTTGCGCCATTTGAATTAATTCATGTTGATATTTGGGGTGGTTATCATGTCCCTTACATCACTAAGGCACAATACTTCTTAACCATTGTAGATTATTACTCCAGATGTACATGGGTTTATTTAATGCACCACAAATCAGATGCACGCCAAAAGCTCATTACCTTTATCAATCTTGTTGAAACACAATTCTCTTCCCAGGTTAAAATTGTTCGCAGTGATAATGGACCTGAGTTTCTAATGACACAATTTTTTTCTGATAAAGGAATTTTACATCACACTAGTTGTGTCTCCACTCCACAGCAAAATGGAGTAGCCGAAAGAAAACACCGACATCTTCTCAATGTTGCCCAAGCTTTACTCTTCCAAGCCAAACTTCCTAAGAAATTTTGGGGGGATGCCATACTCACTGCCACATATCTTATCAACTGCACTCCTACACAAGTTCTTAAAGGAAAAACTCCCGACGAAATCCTTTTTCGAAAACCCCCAGTCTATGACCACTTGAGGGTTTTTGGTTGTTTGTGCTTTGCCTCTACTCATCATCTACGTCCAACCAAATTTGATGCTAGGGCCACACGTTGCATTTTTCTTGGGCTATCGGGTTTATGATCTCAATACGGGTAAAAATTTTCTTTCTCAGGATGTCATCTTTCATGAAACTACTTTCCATTTTCCATCTTCCGCTACCGACTCTTCTCTTGTCTTCCCAACTTCTCATCCCACCCATTTTGATGATGCCCCAACTCCTGGACTTAATTCTCTTAGTTCACAGTTTCCAGTGCCTGACCTTGCGCTGGAAACACTTCCAGCGCCTGCCCCTAAGCTTCCAGCACCTCACCTTGCGCTTCCAGCATCTGACTTTACCCTTCCAGCACCTGATCTTGCACTTCCAGCACCTGATCTTGTGCTTCCAGCACCTCCATCTCCTCTTGCACTGGTGTCTCCACCACTGCCCCGACGTACCACCAGGCCCAGTTATCTTCAGCAGTATCATGTCAACATAAAATTACCTGCCCGGTCTCTCCCATCATCTAACTCGGCGTCGATTGAACCCTAAGGTACCAAACATCCTCTCTCTCATGTCCTTACATATGATCGCTTGTCCCCACACCATCGTGTTTTTAGTGCTTCTCTTTCAGTGGTCAAAGAACCCACCTCTTATGTTCAAGCAGCTCATGACCCTCAATGGCGTCATGCCATGACCCAAGAATTGGTTGCCCTTGAAGCTAATGGCTAATGGACTCTTCAATCTTTGCCCCCCCGGCAAGAAACCCATTGGTTGTAAGTGGGTTTACAAGGTCAAACTTCATCCTGATGGTTCTCTTGATCGGTATAAAGCACGTTTGGTGGCAAAAGGCTATAGTCAGGTTGAGGGTTTGGACTACGGGAAACTTTTGCCCCTGTTGCAAAGCTTGTCACCGTCCGCCTCCTTCTCGTCGTTGCTTCCACGCGTCGTTGGCATCTTCATCAGCTTGATGTCAATAATGCTTTCCTCAATGGTGATCTTGATGAAGATGTTTATATGCATCTACCTCCTGGATTCGGACGAAAATGGGAGACTCGTGTATGCAAGCTTCATAATTCTTGTATGGACTCAAGCAAGCTTCACGTCAATGGTTTATTAAACTTTCCACAACCCTTAAGCAAGCAGGCTATCATCAATCAAAGGCAGATTATTCATTATTCGTCTGAACCCGAGGTAACACATTCACTGCCTTACTCATCTATGTGGATGATATCATTTTGACAAGGAATAGTTTACAAGACATTGAAGCAACCAAGTCATACTTGCTGCAACAATTCAAATTGAAAGACCTTGGTCAACTGAAATATTTTCTTGGCATCGAGATTGCTCATTCTAGCAAAGGCATAGCCCTTTCACAACGCAAGTATGCCCTTGAAATACTAGAGGATGCAGGACAGCTTGGTGCAAAACCAGCCGATTCACCCATGGAGCAGAACTTGTCCCTTAGCAAACATGATGGCGACTACATTGATGATCCATCTTCGTATCGAAGGCTTGTGGGGAGGCTGATCTATTTGACAATTACCCGCCTGACTTGGTGTATGCTATTCACACTCTAAGCCAGTTCATGGATAAACCATGAACACCACACCTAGAGGCAGCTTATCGGGTTTTGTGCTATGTCAAACGTGCACCAGGGCAAGGTATTTTTCTTTCTGCCAACATTCCAATTCAATTAAATGCTTTTTGTTATGCGGATTGGGCTCGATGTCGTGATACTCGACGTTATACTACCGGGTATTGTGTATTTCTTGGCAATTCTTTGGTTCTTGGAAGACCAAGAAGCAAACTACAGTATCCCGATCTAGTGCGGAAGTTGAATATCGTTCCATGGCTGCCGCTTGTTGTGAAATTACTTGGTTACGATATATTTTGCAAGATTTAGGCATTAAGCATTCACATGCAGTCGAGTTATATTGTGACAACCAAGCAGCGCTCCACATTGCTTCGAATCCAGTATTTCATGAACGGACTAAACACATTGAAATTGATTGCCATCTGGTGAGAGAAAAGGTTCAAAGTGGAATGATCAAAACAGCTCATATTTCCACCTTACAACACCAGCAGACATATTCACAAAGGCCGTGAGTCTTCCACAATTTGCAATTTTACTCAGCAAGGTAGGAATCATCAACATACATTCCAACTTGAAGGGGAGTGTTGAGGAGCGTAAAATCCCAACTAAATCAACGTGATTGATTCTGAATATTGATCATTGATCTGTACAGATATTTAGTTTATTTCCTTCTTTTTATGTAGACGTGTATATTAAGGAATGATTCATTTAGGCAAGTTTTCAGCACCCTAATTGGCTATTGTATTTGTATAAAGGTTCTGTACCTCATTCTATTTTTATCATCAATACATACGAATTATCAATTCTTTCAAGAACAACAAGTTGAGGAGTAGAACAGGTAGTTAGAAAATGATGCCGCATGTGCAGTGTGGCAAAAGAGAGGTCGTCAACCATCTTTAACAGGGCCTTAGATACACATCTCATGCAACAAATTGAATTTACGGGCAGTCTCGAAAGGATGTCAATAAGAATTTTAGGTGGCAGGGAGCCGATCGTCATCAAGTTTAGTTCTGGCTTCTCCTTGGCGTTGTTTCAAGTTTATCAGGAAAACTATTAGCTGGAGAAAAAATAGTTAGTTTTCTTTCCTATGTCAACATTTTGTTCCTTTAAGAACACCAACTCTCAAATTCTAGATTATGTATAACCCAAAAAATTCGTTGAGAAAATAAGGAATTTAGACTCAATTTTTTTGATTAATAAAGTTTCTCTCATGCGTCGAAGTTTTTGGGACATTCCTCATCAAATTCCACTAATGGTCAAATTATGATTTATCTATTCTTAAATTGTTGCTGAAATAGGAACTTATATTTATTGATTGTTAACTATACCACAATTATTTCCTATTTCTTGGTATATACTATACCACAATTATTTCGTACATGCCACCATGTAATACTAGGGAACTGGTACAGTTACTACTTTACATGCTAAGACAATTTGTATTGCCCTTTCGCAGTTCACTCATCACCAGGACACGTTTCGAGAAACTGTCTTATTTTACGTCGTTCCTCGGTTGTAAGACTAGGATCTTCACCAGTCAACCTCTTCCGGATTGCAGCACTAATACCGTTAGGATCATCCTCAACAACCTGCAGGAAAAGCTCAACAAATGAGAAGAAACATGGTGCAACTTTTTTTCGTTTCAGATGCAAAACATGGGTGCAATTAGAATCTGTTCATCAGGAGAAGCCAAGGTCCCTATTCCCTAAAATTATGCAGCACATTATTTGCTACATTCTTTTTTTATATAAATAATTTTAATTCCAGTGTCCATGATATATTGTTATGTATACTTTTTTTTCCCTCTTTTTCTTTAATAATTTACAAATTCAAGACTCAAGCTGAACCTTACTTGAACATAATTGTTGACATGGCCATCCTTGTTGGGAGAGGTGAAAAGCTCGTATTTGTTATGCGTCCAAGCACCATCAATAATGTACTTATATTCATATCGTCCTTCCTGCAACACGAGTTTATTTCAAGAAATTGATCAATACATGCAACATTCTATGTTTGAATCTTATGCAATCTTTTTCAAGTCAGCATGGCTTACTCATAGATGGAATTATCTCCCTATTAATTGACAAACATATTTAGACTTTACTAGAATGATAAGTTGATGATCCATGTTTAACCTGAGAAGGTCAAACATAAGCATACTTTTGCTTCAGACAAATGCTTACCGGCAATTCCCTCTTGAGAATCCACGAACCCTGTTCCTTATTGAACTCTAAAGGAATACTCTGTACAAGCATCACAAGAGAACATCATTGATCGAAAAAGTCCGTACTTCATATTTACAGGTAGCATGAGCTACAGATTAAAATCATAATTTGAAGCTATAGCAAGCATAGAAGTCTGCCTCTGAACTTAAGGTTGAAATAAAAAGATCGTTACCTGACCCCATCCAATATCGAGTCCAGAGATTTCCACTGTAGTGCAATTATGATTTCCCCAAGTTAACGTGACAAGCCTTTTTGTCATGCCTGTAAGCTTCAAATGAGAAGATACGAGACACATGAGTTTGTAATAAATTCCTTTTTATATGAGTCCGGCAAAAGAAGACAAATATTAGATCTATTAAAACTTAATTCATTTTAGATAAGTTTCCTTCTAGTTCAATACGTAAGTTCATTCTAGGTAACTATGTCAGGTATTACAATGAATAACTAGAGTCAAAGTCGGAAATCTAAAGTCTTCACATCTCCACCATTTTCTACTTTTCTTTTCTTGGTGAATAAGAAAATATATTTAGATATCGGTACGAAGAAACATAAAAGAAAAAAACAAGGGGGAAAATACCTCCCCTACTGCAGTTTTTATCACTAATGAGATGAAAAACATGCCCAGCACTGTCATAATTCCAACATTTTGTTACATATAGATGATCTGACCACCAACACTATCGAGACAAAAGACAAAAAGAAGCTGACAAAAGGAGAAAAGGAAAGCATGTTGAAGAACCTAAAGAAACAGAACCTAAAACAGGAATATCTAGGCATTACTTTCTAAAAACATGCTCATGTGAGGAAAACTGTAGTAGCCAATTTCAGAATCCCATCCGTTATGGCAGAATTTCAACAAACTGTATCAAGTAACAACATGCATCCCGAACTGTTCTACGATATCATCTTTTCAAGTTGAAAATTTATACACATGAGAAACCGGTAATGAGAATAGACTTTTTAAGAAACGATTCATATGAAATAACAGTAAAGGAAAAAAGAGACTCACAATATCAGCAGTAGCATTTTTAACAGCATCCAGATTTGGGCAGCACGATCGCTTGCTCTGCATTAAATTTAGAGTGAGATACTTCTGAGACATTGTGAAGATCCATATTTATTTATGCATTACATTGGCCCACTTTCTCACTGCTTGAGTTAGCTGTCATACCACTGATACAAACTTTCTTAATTTTTTTTCTTCCGAAAAATAGCAATGTGATACAACTGCATAAAATTCATGATTGATTTTGAAACTTGACGTTCAAGGTTCTGCCATAGTTTCGTGAATCCAAAATTAAATTTCTAGCATCCTTCTTTCTTTTCCTATTTTCTTTTTTTATAAATAACTTAAAACTTTCATTTTCGCTAAATAAAATGCACATGGGCTAACAACATGATGATGTATTGATATATTGGGCATATCAGAATAGGTCAACGAAACAGAAAATTACCAACAGTACATTGACAGCATCTGTCAGCTTGTATCCCTGTACCCAGAACATGTAAGCCAACTGCCACCATAACAACATTTCAGAACAGTTTTGAAAAGAGAAACATACCAGATTGATCTGCATAAACAAGCATATGAAATGAAAGTAACTGCAAGCTGGAACTTAAATAAATTTAAAGTTGCGAGTTATGAGAACCCTCTCAACATTTCTCATTCGTTTCTCTTATAGTCAAGACTAATCTGACATCCATTTATCTATGTATACCAGTCTATTGTTGTTGGCTTCGTATGATTTGAAAAATTTTCTACAAAATTTACATAACTCTTGACCGAGTACAATAGCATTTTACCAAATATTCGGAAATAAATCATTCATTGTCTGTTGGAAAACCATTGTGTGATATGGGCAAGAGAATGAGCCTAAATTGCGTTCACTTTTGAATTATTTAAGTACACCAGAAAGCCATTAGACCAGCACAAAGACGTCGTAAAAAATATAAGAGAAGCTGAGGTTCTCAGATGTGAACAAATGTCAATGCATTGACAAATATTTATAACACTAATCATAAATCAGCGTCAACCTCATTGATATGGTTACAGAAAAATATTCATACTTCAACAAGGCAGCAGTGACTTGCTATTCTTGTCCACAATTAAATGTAATATATGTATATAGTTGCACTGCCTTACGACTACCTTGTACCGGTTGGTTGGGGAGACCCTAAACAAGTTTGTAATAATACACTTAACATTATCTAGGTATTTATGACTCAAAGAGGTAGCATATAAATTGGTAAAAATAAGAGATAATTTTTTTGCAGGAAACAGAAAATGAAAAAGGAAATAATCATCAATAATTTTTATTATTTAAATTTGTAAAGGCTGGCAGCAATCAGTCCAGAGATCTCAATAAACTGTCAGCTCTACGGATCTTCTAATAGTAAAGCTAAATATTTAGCTGCAGAGCAACATGAGCAACTACAAAGACAATACACAAGCGGTCTCATGGGTACACTGCAGTAGAGGAATTAGCTTGGCAAATATCAATGTTATGCTTTTAACCAAAAATACTCCCTCATTTTTGGCTCACACATAGGTTAGTGGACTAAAAAGTATGTCATTTTCCCTTGTCCGTAGGTTAGTTACTACAATACATGATTTTCATTTGACTAAAAATACTCCCACATTTTAGGTTACTTTACAAAAACGTTTCCCCTAGTTCCTGCATAACACAAGCACATAACACAAATTTGAGGGAGAGTTGAACTTCATGAGTTCCATAAGGTGTTTGCTCAAAATCTGGGT